GCAGTGAGTGTGTGCATGTGTCCTCATCTGTGATTCAGTGCTTAGTCGATCCCAGCAACACACAATGTCTCCGGCACGCACAATGACAGGAAAGGCCGAGCTGCCCTAATACAAACAAGAGGGGCAGCAGGCGCAGAATATGCTGTCTGGTTACATGCAATCTGCGCTGAGCTGTTGAGATTGGTGTGTGAGTGTTTTCTGCCAAATCTGTAACGGGGCGTTCACACTGACGCCGATTTGCACTGGCGAAGTGACCGGAAGACATTGGATTTTCAACAAGAGCCGGCCATATCTGACATGACCAAGAGCGACCGTTCGCAACGCGATGTAGGCATGAGAAAAGTTTTACTATTAGAACTGGGTATTGATTCATCTTGTTACTTGGTACTGTATATTTCTGTTTATAATTTCCATTTTACTTCCATATGAAATAAATTCTCTTTGAATGATGCTGTAAATTATAGAGGGTTTCAGGCATATATAATCCGGTAACTTGTCTTTTGAACTATTTATTAAAAGAACCAACTTGTAAGATTCATTTCTTGAATCTGGCTATGCTAAGTGCATTTTAAGTATTTTAGTTTATTTATTTATTTTTTGTATATATTTTTTTAATTTACTTTTTAGGAATTGTATGTGCTTTTGTAGTTTTCATTGGTTTGTTTATATTTCTATTTAGCTATAATTTAGATTTTATTTCAGTTTTAGCAATTTTAGTATATATTTTTAAATATTTTTTTTATTTACTTTTTAGGAATTTTATGTGCTGTTGTAGTTTTCATTAGTTTTTTTTTAATATTTCTATTTAGCTATAATTTAGATTTTATTTCAGTTTTAGCAATTTTAGTTCTTTAACTTAAAATTAAAAATGTTGTCTTGACAACTAACTGACATAAATGTTTTTTCATCTATTTATATTTTAATTCATGAAAATTATTTGTTATCGTTTTAGTTAACGATAGCAATACCCTTGTATGTATGTTTGTTTTTGTGAGTTTTTCTTGCCATTACTTCATGGTACAGTCTTTTTATTGCATAATCAATACATTTTGCAAACTCATCCACAACTCAAGTAGAGTAAAAGATCGATCTTGGGATTTTAGGAAAAGATATCAGGATCCATGTTAACATTTATTGTGAGCAATTTCATTGTTTTATATGATTTAATCTGTATGATTTCATGTCTTCCGGACATTACATATGCATTCGGCAGATGCTTTTATCCACTGCAACTTAGTGTATTCAAGGTTTACATTAATATGTTTGTTTTTCCTAGAAATCAAACCCATGACTTAGCTTTAAGAAGTTTGCAAAGTGATTTGTTTCTGCCCACATGCAGCAATATAAAAAAAAATTATGCATGGAAAACTGAGAAATTGCCAGCATTGATTCATGCATCAATATGATGCATAATGCATTTCAGAAATGTTACTACAGTAGAAAAGCTTTCCCATCTAGTTCATTTTAGAGACAAGAGAACTGATTTATTGCCATTTAATTGTAATCAGATTATTGCTAGTTAGTTGCTAGCAAGTTAACAATAACAGGCCACCTAGCAGTAGGGACACCCTACATGGCCCAATAATACAGCCACTCATCGACTTTAGCGATAAAACCACTATATGTTTGAACAAAGCATAAGAGGGTGTGTGTACACATGACTTACTCGTCAGGCTGTGGTTAATGCATTTCATACAGCCATTTTTCAAAGTCACCAAGTGACTGCGTTCACAAAGCGACTGTTTAGCTAATGTTTTTAACAGCAACGGCGTGCAGTAGCACAACAGATCATCTCCATGACACACTGTCTTCTGAGGTTTAGACACATGACTTCAGATGTTTAACGACTGATCTTTAACCAGAGGCGTGGTATTGGTCATGTGTCTAAAGGTAGCGCAAAACGTGTCTCTTGTTTTTACTATTTCATAACTCTTCTCTGTTCGGCCATAACGTTAACGAGTAATCTTCCACTTACTATCAAAGAGAGTGCGAGATTGACAAACTCTCCTCCTTTGCGGTGGACGCCCTGTGTTAACAGACACCCACTTATAGAATAGCTTCAGGGCAAAGCTTCTCCACACTGATTCTAAAAGTAAAGCAGCCCACTCATGTTCCTCAGACACGCCACTCACAACACTGAACACATCTGAAATTAGGCCAGATGGTAAAAGTGAGAGGAAGACAGGGTTGTGGAAGCGGTCGTGTCATCCGATTTGTTTCGATTTCACCGAATGAGCAGCCAGACACCTAAATTACCTGGTCGTCAGAAGGCATCTTGTCACGAACACAGAAAAAGATAAGAATAAACATTGGAGGCCTAGTGATTACTAGCACATGTGGTGTGATGTTGGTCTGAAAAAGTAAATACATTTTTTCAGCTTTAATTAAAAGAACAGGGTGTGTGTGTGTGTATATATACACTACCTTTCAGATGCTTGGGTTGATAATCATTTTTAATGTTATTGAAAGACGTCTTATGCTCACCAAATCTTAATTTTTTCCCTCAAAAATAAATGAGAAACTGCAACATTGTGAAATATTATTGAATATTAAAATAACTGATTTCTATTTTAATGTATTTTATAATGTTATTTATTCCTGTGATGGCAAAGCTGAATTTTCAGCAGTCATTACTCCAGTCTTCAGTTCTAGAAATTATATTATATCTAATAAACTTATGTATTTTTTTTATGTGAAGCAGAGTGGTAAGTATTTTCTCTAAAATTGCTAACATCGTATTAACCATATTTGCTAAGTAGATTTAAAATGATTAATGAGGAATTTAATTTTCCATTATGTTCCTTGGAATTATTATTCATTCATTTATTCATCAGAAGGACTAACAATAAGCGTAAAATGTAGAAAAATGTGCCAAACCTTGAGCTGTGTGTAGCACCTGTCGCTCTACACATCAATCTGAAGGATACTTACCAACATTAAGAGAGAGCGATTGACGTTTATTTTTTACAACATGCCTGATCACATCTGACCTTAAGCATGTTGTTGTATTTTTATTTTATTTTATTTATTTATTTATTACATTTTTTTGCAAAGAGGTTGTTCATGAAAGACGTGGCAGTAAAAAACTGTTTTAAACTCACTGATCGTGTCTGTCTGAACATAATTAATCATCTTTGTGCTCATTTAGTGAATAAATGAGTTATTTAGAATGCAAAATGACACTCTGGGATCTAATTGAACAGTTTTAGTAATGCCACAAATGAGTGACTGAATTTGTGTTTGTGTTTTTGTTTTTGAAATTAAATGTAATAAAAAAAATAAAATAAAAACTTTAATTTGCAGTTCGAACAGCCCAGCTCTATCTTCAGGGGTTAAACACTGAAATGGAAAAATTGGAGATGCTGTAAAAATATCTTTGCCTTGGTACGGTCATACTCATGAGTCATGACACAAGACGCAGGCACAAAACTGCCTGCCATAATGGCCTTTAGGAAATTGAATGGCCTAATAAAAATCAACACAATATTCAGAGTTGTTTAAATTTATGAATAAAATATTTATATATAAATATTCACCCAGCCGTTCTTTAAGACATCCCATGGTGCTCATGAATCCAGTTTGCAACATTTCTCATTCTCCTTATTTCCCATCCTCGCTCTACTATAATATTATACTCCAATATAATAGTATAATATAAAAGTCGAACAGAGGCCAACCTTACTGCATTTCTGTCTATTGAGAAAGCAAGCATCCTGCTCTCCATCAGGTCCTAAAGGTCAGCATCATGCTGTTATCACTAATTAGCCAATCGAAATATCCCTACATAAGAGAACCTCTCATCTTATCGCCAAAAATAGCCCGTCTGGAACATACTAAACTGACAAAATGTCACTCTATCTCATGGTGAGCAACTCCAAAGTCCTCCGTTTCTCTGAGATGCTGATTCACGGATGATTCTCGTCCTGAAAAGATGGATTAGGAATGATTTGTTCCTCAGATCTCCTTTTTTAGTAATGCTATCACCCTACTTGCATACATGCGAGTGTGTGTATGTGTGAGAGAAGAGAGATGTATTCATATGTATGCATGTATATGCATTTATGTGTCTGGCTCTTTGGGATCCATGAGGCCTGTTTTTTGTAATACAGCACAGCCAAATCAATTAAAGTTTGATTTTAATTTGTGTGTGATGTTTCTCTTTGGTTTGGCTGAGTGTGTCCGTGTTTGTCAGCATGTTGAAGCGTGGTCTTTTGTGCAGAGACATGTTTACATTCCTCAAGCTGTGAAAGACTGGCGGCGTTGCTCTCTCACTTGTTCTCTCTCCTTTTATATTTCTCTCTCATTTTTTTCCCTTTTCTCGCTTTTTGTGCTTGTGCTGATGGGCCGCGCTGAGTCACATTCACAGGCTGCCCACTCCAGCTGTCATGATGGTAACTGACAGGGAGTTCGTTCACAGCAAGAAAAGGAGAGAAAGACGGATAGAGGCAAAGATAAACAGAGATTGAGTGGGCTGTGATTGCCTCATGCTGATTTGTAGACAAGAGTAAAAGACGGATTTATGTATACGTGTGGGTGTGTGTATGTGTTATGAGGAAGTGAATGCATGAACATGCAAACGTGCACATGGCCGCTGGTAATTACTGATGGCTGAGAAAGGTCAAAATCCAAAACGTTCATCTGTTAGAGCAGGGCAGAAGGTGTTTCAAATGTGAATTCTCACTGTTTACTCACTCACTTTGTTCCAAACCCATATGACTTGCTTTTTTTTCTATGAAACAAAATAAGGCTTTGAATATGACCACTCTTTTCAGTGTAATGAAAGCGAATGAGGAATAAGGCTGTCAAGCTCCAAAATTACAAAAAGCACTCTAAATGTATCATGTAAGTTGTCCCTATGAATCATGCGCTATATTTTCTGAAGCCATATAATAGATTTGTGTGAGCAAAAATTTAAATGTTGAAAATAAAAAAACAGCCTGAAATTTAAATAAATGAAAGTTGAATAAAACTCTAACTTATGTTTTTCTCTATCATTGTAGATGAATATAAGATGAAGGGAGTGGAGGAGGTGAAATACATGCATGGAGAAGAAGACAGAGTAAATGCACGCAACCAGGAGAACCTGGTGAGAAACAAAATGCATGCGCACACACACACACCTCTGGGAAATTCTTCCTGTGCAGTGGTGTCCATCATATTTTGCTTTGCTTTGTATTCACACACACACACATCGCTTGAGGCTCATATGCCTGTTGAGCTTATACGTTGATAGGTAAAAATAAGTGTATGGAGTGCACACAAGTGCCGACATGTTTGGAATGTGGGAGAGGGAAACTCTGACAAATTTTCCCTTTTTGTCACAGACTCTCATACTTAGACACTCACATTACCAGACAAAATCTAAGATTCTGGTGTTTTTACATACAATTTTTTATACGCACACTCATTAAAAAATTCTCAGACATCTGGACTTATCTGTAATAGTTCTTCACCTAAAGAGGAAGCTTTATCAACTATAATAATAAAGTAATAATTCTTATTCTTATTGTTGCTATTGTAAGAATATTTAAAAAATAGTATTTATTATTTTATTTTATTTTGTAATTATTTTTTGTTTTTGAACCCTGAAACTCTCTACACACCTACACATGCGTATTGTTTGTTTTTTTTCCTACCTACTTAACTAATAATTTCATGGTTTCTTGTATAATGACCTTTAGAATTAAACTGTCTGATAAGCTACTTTACTTTTTAGACTTTATGTAAATTACTCTGTTATGATTGGCTAACCTTTTCACCTGTTAAAAGTAATAATGTCACTGCCAAGTTGTTAAATACTGGCATTGATATGCAAATGTGGGTCGTCATATGTTAATGTTATATGTTAATGTGCACAGCGGGAGTGTAAAATGCATCATTACTTTATTTCTTATCCAAAATAGTTACATATTTCAAATGTAAAAATCCACTATTTCAGGTTCCCGGTGTATTTCTTGCACATACAGCCTTGATTATCCTATCTGTATTATTTTTAAAATAATTATATTATATAATGATATATTATGCATCAAAGCAATCAAATAAAACTTGACCGAATTTCAGATACATCATATAATTTAGTGATCATAATAAAATTATTGTCCTGTTTCTACCCCTAATGCTCATGATTTCAACATTATAATTAAAATGTGTAAAGAATTACATGCTTTTGCATCATGGTTTCCATAAATTGTTTAGTTGCATTGTGAATGAGTATGTCTACGTAGTACATTTCAAATAGAGCAAGTAAAGTTATTTTTCCATGATATGTCCCCTTTAAACTGCCTGGCTTAATGAAGTTGTACAGGCAGAGCAGGTGCTTGGATACCCATGTTCTGATAAGGGGGGTTAGAGGAGAATAGAGACGTAGTGAAAGCGAGGGCAGCCCTCTCTCTCGCAGTGGCCAAAGTAAGGTCACTCCCAGGGCCTCTGTATCACACTGTGTTCCAGGCAGAGGAGCTGGTTCTGGCCCAAGTTTTAGAAGCCGACAGGGCCTCTGCACCGGAGGGCCACCAGGTACAGACGGCGGAGGCTGAATTTGGCTTTGTTTTGAACAGTAGTAAGTGAAAACGTGTTTTTTCCGGGTGTGTTTGCAGGAGAAGAGCTCGACGCAGCACAGGACCAAACAGCACAAAGAGGTGCCTGGGCCCAGCGCCAACAAGACGAAGTGAGTGGGTTTATACATGTGTCTTTCTGTTTACGGTGTGCGTGTGTTTCTGTTTGTTTTGTGTGTGTGGGTGAGGGCATTAGAGTTCTTGCTTTGTTGAAAATGTGCCAGAAATTGTGTGTGGTTTGTTTTGCTTTGTGGCCTGTCTTATCCCCTCTGGATCTCATTTGCATGTTCTGTTTGAACGTAATGTGCCATATGTTTCACAACTTATTGTATGTAAACATGATGTGTTTATTGCCTTCGAATGCAATTGTAAATTTCAAAGTGTTTTAATGGCATAATTATTTGTAGTGATATTGCATTTCTAAAGCATCAATAACACAATTGTGATTGTAAATAAAGAATAAATAAAAAGGCTAACACTTTATAATTATTTTCTTTGTTAAAAGTCATTTAAAGGGGTAGTTCAACCATAGATTAATTTTTTTCATTTATTGACCCTCATGCAATATACCTGTATTGATGATATTATACATACAGTATTTAAATGTATAACTATATATTTAACTTTGCTA